TTGTTTTTTTTTTCGGTTGGGAGGGGAGGGCTGGCTGCGGAAAAATTGAACAAATATGTTTATTTTTTTGGACGGCTGGTCGCGGGAAAATCTGCGGCAAAAAAATTGAACAAATATATATATATATATATATATATATATGTAACATAATATAATATAATGTATATATACATAATATAATATGATATAATATAATATAATATGATATAATATAATATAATATAATTTATATATAATATATATATATAGTTTTTTTTTGGAGGGCTGGTCATGGGAAATTGGGCGACATAATACAGCTGTTTTGGTTTGTTTTGCGGAGATCTCACCAGAAAAAGGCACGCAAAAAAACCTGGCAGCAATGTTGCTTTCATTTTTCAAACATTCATATGTTGCTTGGATTTGGGCCCAGAAAACAAGTGCTTAAAAAGCCGCTGAAAATATGTCCTATTTTGTCTATTTGTTTTCTTTGAGCTGGCCCTGGAAACATCCAAAAAGAAAACGTTTTTGAAAGTTTTAAAATGTAGTGGATTTTGTCCGGAGTGTGCACCAAGAAACAGCTAACAAAACTGTTCAAATAATGTTATTTTGTTTTGCTTTGATTTCTATCGCACACACGTTCGACAACAACATTATGAGTTCCTGAGCCCAACCAGAAAAATGCATGCAATTTTCGCGAAACGGCACATAGGTAAGTATACACAAACCTATATAGATTGTGCGTTATATTTTTTTGAACCTCCCCGCAAAAACAAAAAGAAACGAACATATGTATGTATGCATGCATGTATGTATGTAATGTAATGTCATGCAATGCAACGCAATGCAATGCAATGTAATGTAATGTAATGTAATGTATGTAAGTACCTATAGTATGTAGAATTCCTATTTCAAAGAACTGGTGTTGATAAATCTCGCCGCCAAAGAGAAACGAGGAAAATATGTATCAGTTGTGTTTTTAATTTTTGGTTACCTTCTTGTGACCGGCCACGTGGAAGAGTTGTGCCAGCAGCACACAAGCAAGGGCTGATATGCAAAAACCTGTTGGCCTTTGTTTTGTCCATCAGGGCTCTACATTTTGACATGTTGTTCAAAACCGTGCGCGGCATGATAATTCCAAAGTGCAGCGATTTGATTCCAATGGTTCATACGAGTTTTCCAATGCTTTAAGTAGTTACCCAGGTTGCTCAAAAATTAAAATATATTTTTTACTATTTCCCCACGAGGGTTGTGCAAATCTACAATCCAGGTGCGCATTGTTTGCTGATTTTCTCGTGGTTTGGGCACCTTCCCAGAAAGTTACTTGAAACCATGGGAGGAAATACAGCACAGCCAAGACTTGAAAATAGAATCAGCAAACAAATTTCAGCATGTTCTTTGAAGTTTGTTTTCAAAGCAAAATCCTTCAATACATGCCTTGTGCAGCAATATGTGTTCTAAGAATATGACATGTCTTGCATAAAGTCACATCACTACGTGCATAAAGCGGCATCATTTTGCACAGTCCCCTTAAATAAGGGAGTGTAGTTTTTCTTTGAAAGGAATCTCAAGTCATGTTCAAAGCGACAGCTTATCAAAGTTCTTTTAAAGAGGTAAAGGAATCTATGGAAGAAGGACAGCAGCATTTCAGAATTGAATCTTTTGAGTACCTATTCTTAATGATCATTGTATTCCTTAAGAAAGTGTTGGGGCGGGTATGCTAAAAAGTTTCCTTGATAAGGCTGTGAACCATTTGATTGAAAAACAGGCAATCATATGAGGAAACACATTACTATGAAGTAGAAGTGTACCTATAATATGTTTAGAAAGAGACAGGTAATGACTACAACGTATGAAACATGGCCTTCCATATGAGTGAAACAACCGAAAAATACAAGCACCATTATTTTAAAAAAAATCACGTTACAAACCAATGTCATGCAGAAAAATGGGAGCGAGGCTTAACTTCATTGAGCACATATTGCATCTGTTCACATATTGTTTTTCTGCAAGAATATGTTTTTTTTGTTTCAGGGATTATCTTGTCTTCAAAGCAATTAATTATTTCATATAAAGAAGTGATTTTTTTCCTTTAAAAGCACATATCATGCAGAAAAATGAAAATGAGGCTTACCATTGAAGGATGTACTGCATCTTTCCACACATTACAGTTTTCTTTCAAGAATATCGTTTATTTATTTAAGGGAATATATGTCTTGTCTTCAAGGCAGGCTGCAACCTGGAAGCAGTATGTTCCATCAAAAGTAATCGAGTTCGACCAAGGATTGCTGCAATGTGCATCGGCCATTGCTCCTTTTGACAGCAATACTGAATGCTTAACTTAATACTACAATGTTTTGGAAGACTGCACTTCTACAGAAACGAACGCTGCATGTTTTGGGAAACCTCTATATTTCGTAGGGATACTACTTCTTGAAAGAAGTAATGCATGGCCTTGGACGAAACATGCAGCTTATGAATGAAAGATATAGTGTGAAACGAAGATATCGCTTCTGCCAAAGTAGCACTATATTTTACATGAATGCCTCATAATTTGCAAGGGTGATTCAAGGGTTGCATTTGCAACTGTTTCAAAATAGTTTAGTTTGCTAGATCTTACTAGGGTGTGGCAGTCTCTCACATTGTCTCCCTCCCATCGGCCATTTGTAGTGTTTACATGTTTTTACTGTTTTTTTGGTTGGTGGCGTCTTCATTTGGATGAACATTTTGGCAGAGGCTGATGTTTATGAACAATTAGCACCAACAACTTGCTGTAAAACTAACAAAAAAAAACGCACTCCCACAGTCCCCCGCTCTCAAAAAAAGAGGACATGGAAGAGTCAGAGAAAGAACAAAGTCAAACATGAAAAGGACAAGGAAGAAGAGCAGGAAGAGAACAAGGAACGTTGTAAAAAAAGGAAAAGAGATTATCAAGAGGAAGGAATATGACAAATGAACAAGGAAGAGGAACATGGAAGAAAACACAGGACAAGAACGAGGAAGAGGAATAAGAAGAGGGAACCAAACAAGGGAAAACAAATTAATTACTTTACTTCGAGGGATCCCCACCGTGACATTATTTTGTCATAATTAATGATATCTCATCTACAAATATATATAGTATATATGGCATATATTTTCTGACATTCTATTCTGGCATTCTTTCTGACACTCTTTTGGCAATCTATTTGGCATCTATTCTGACATCCTATTTGGCATCCTTTCTGGCATCTATTCTGACATTCTTTCCTGGCATTCTTTCTGATAATGTATTTGGCATCTATTCTGACATTCTTTCCGGCATCTCTTCTGGCACTTTATCTGGCATTCTATCTGACATCCTTTCTGGCATACGTATCTGGAATATCTTCCGAAATTCTTTCTGGCATTTTATCTGGCATTATATCTTCGGAGTTTCTTCGTGGTTGAGGTCCGGGTGGGAACGCTCTGATCCGGAGGTTGCTGTTGGGGTCCGGCGGACGATGGAGGAGGAAGGAGGAGGAAGGAGGAAGGTGGGCTGGCTAACATAAAATCTAACAACCCTCACCTGACAGGTGGGGAAAACGGACAGAACAAACATGAAACAAACAGAACAAGAAGAAACAGCAGTTACAGAAGCTGCGACAAGAGAACCAGTACGTACTGTAACTTAGTCGTCACTTCTCTGTGGCAGGTAGATGCAGAAAAAAAGCATATGAGCGCTTCGATTATTAATCATCTTACTTGATTTCAGGACAGAAATTTAGCAGCAGCAAAATCAACACTTATTAGTAGAAACCAGGTCTATTTACAATGTATTTTACCTCCTCGAGTACATCTGCAATGGTTAATACATTCCCAGGGCGCTGTCATGCACATGCCTGTAAATAAACCGAATGTAAATTGTACATATGATAGTTCTCACGGAACGGACGAAATATTCCCCAAAGGTCCCCCCCCACATATATATATACATTCATTTATGTGTTTGTTTAAATCTATTTATTTGATATGATCTCCCATCTCCTGCATGCTTTTGCTGTATATCTCAGTTTTTTCAAGTTTTTGGCAAACCAATCAACAACATGAAACATTCAAGTGCCAACATGCAGCAAACATATTTCCAACTTCCAACAAACAGAACACACGTGTTTTTTTAGATACACCCTCGCGCAACCAACACGACCACAGCAACCACAATCACAACAACCAGAACCCTGACAACCGTGTAGCAATAGCATGCAAAATGGAAGTGTGAAATACCAACATGTAGCAAATACCATGTAGGATGAACGTTTGAAGTACCAACAAGTAGCAAATACTGTGCAAAATGGAAGGTGAACATGCCAACATGTAGCAAATACCGTACAAAGTGGAAGGTGAACATGCCAAAATGTAGCAAATACCATGCAAAATGGAAGGTGAGCATGACAAAATGTAGGAAATGCCATGCAAAATCACGGGTTCTAGTTCCAAACTGTTGCAAATACCATGCAAACAGTCCACAGAAAACTCTCACCTGATCAGTTCGGCCATTTGTTTTTGGAGAATTCCAGCCAGAAATTGGAATAACAGCTCGTGAGAGAGAAGTTGCACATGCACCAGTCGTGTAATACTTCCGCAAGATGGGCGACTCCCATTTTCATTTTTTTTTGCTGGGTATTTTGATTTTCATCGGTAGCCACACTCTATAATCAGATCTAACATGTATTTTGCTATGAGAAAACCTCTTCATTTTGGATCATCAAATGGGGCGCCCATTTGCGAAGTCACCGCAATCGCCCTGTGTGTGGGAGTTGTGGGCGACTGCAGCCCGTCCTCGCTCGGGCTTTGCAGTGGTTCTGCCAGCCCTCGAGCGAACCTGCGCTAAAAAACGATTCCAAGAAAAAGGTCGTGGAGGGGTCACCGTGGCGTCACGGTCCAACCAGCTGTCACTGTTGGTCGGTGTTTTGACATGTTTTGACATGTTTTGACATGTGTCTGATTTCAATATTTCCCATGATTTTCCATGGGATGGTGATCCCCTCATTCTGCACGTTCGCAAGGCGATCATCTTTGGGGGCTTCCTGAGGCGGGGAGCTTCGCTAGTGTCACAGCGAGAACTCAAAAGTGACGGGAGGTAAAACAAACCTGGTTGGTGGTTCAGGTTTCAACGCGTGATACGAGTCAAAATCTTTGGAACCAACCAGCAATAGATCGAGACGATGTGTTCCCGTGGCACTTGTGTTGCAGCATTGATGTGCCCCTAAACCCTCCGCTTCGCTCAAAGCTGCCCTTTCCGACTTCCCAAGCCATGCTGTGCAATACACGACAGCCTTCGCCGCTGGAAGCGTATGCCAAGTCGGTCCATGACGAAGGTTTCAGGGCTTGAGAGTCATGGCTGTAAAGGATGATAGGCCTCCAGACCACGTGTATGTAGTGTATGTGATTCTAAAATATTCTAAAAGCAATTTGAGCGGTGACCATCCCACTCTTGGGGGTAACTGCAGCCCAGTTTTTCTGGTGGCCCCAGTCATGAAGGTGATCCCCTGCCAGGTTTAGCGGACGAGCAAGTGCTGTTTCCCATGTACACCGTGCGGCTGGAGGCAGTTCTGCAGATGACCGCAGTGGAGCCACACGAAGTGCTGAAGCTGCAGAAGCTGCTGGTGGAGTTTGAGACTTGGGAATGGACATCAATCATGAACAGTGTGTAAAGATAATCTGGTAGACTCTAGACGGATAAATTATAGATCATTACTTGTGATCAATAATTTTAAATATTTTAATAAATCCCTTTAGATTTTAGGGGAAATTTCAGGTACCTAAGTTGGAGATACCATGATCATCTATGTAAGGCATAGGCAAATCGACAGATCACTAGATAAAGAATTAACAAAGATAGATATATCGGCACCAGCCTTTGCCTGTGGCAGCCTCACCTCAATGAACCAATGAAGCCCAGCATCGGGCAACAAATCCTGGATGGCATGGACAAAAGAATCTGTAGCTCTTTGAGATTCCCCGAGATCCATGAAAACCAGCTAAGGTCCCACCCCGACCGTCCCCGACCCATGCCTTTTTCTTTTTGGAAGGGGGTTCAGTCGGACTCAGCCCCTGAGGAACCAAAGCTGGGCAAGGCATTGTTCGTCTCACATCAGTGGCTTGGAAAACGCCATCCAGACCCAGAGTTCACCCAGTTCAGCGTGCTACAAGATGCCTTGAAACATATGATGTCAGAGGTGCAACACGTAGATCCCAAGCTGAATTTGGTGTCAGAGCCGAAGTCCCGAGTCGTCGGAACGGAAGTTGGGGAAAGGGACGGAAAGGGATCCTTAAAATGGGACACCCATTTGCCCTTCTAAGTCCAGCAGGCACGGCATCTAAATTGGCGAAATTTCTCATTCCAGGGTTTTTATTTTTCAGGTTGACTTTTCTCTTTTTAAAAGGGAATTCGGACCGCTTCGCAGGGGATCTTGCAAGAAACATCCAGTCTGATCAAGATACCCTCTGGTAAACTAACATAGCTATTGAAAATGGCCATTTATAGTGAGTTTTCCCATTAAAAATTGTGATTTTCCATTGTTATGTTAGTTCACCAGAGGGTAATCAGATAATAGATGACCGGAGAAAGCCCCGATGCCACAGGGGAGAACATGAGCCCTTTGGGATGGGTGACCACAAACTGGCTCACGGATTTTTTGGCCAAATTGACCATCTAAAAAATACCAGGAGAGACGTGCGGCACCTTCAGTACACATTTTCATAGATAATAATAACATATAATAACATATTATTATATATAACATGATTATAATTGAATACATTGCTATCTCATATTCTCATAATTATACTGGTTATATCTCATATTTGTACAGATTACCCCGGTCATTGTTACAGATATCTCAACGTCATAGCAACACCTGGCAGCTCCGGTTGTCTCAGCCCCGGCCCAAGGACCTGGACGTGCGCACAGAGGTGGCGCTGCCGAGCGCCAAGGCCTTCGTGACGAGGGCGCTGAAGGTGGAGCCGCTCTACGTTTGGTACGACTACTTCAGCTGCCCACAGTTGGAACACATCAGTTCCCATGGGGATGTGGCCCCCGTGGATTCCGGGGGGATGAGCAACTTAGCCAAGGCCGGAAAAATACCACGAAGGGATGTCATGATGTGAAGATATGTGCAGGGTGATGTTTACAGTATAGATACCTTAGGAGCAATGACTACTGCAGCAGAAATAACATGAAATAACGGCCTATGCGAATGTATGTGAAATGCAGTAGATTGAGATTGCGAGGTGCAACAGTGAATAAGCAAATTGTTTTTTTGGAGATGCCAATGATATGACATGGAAACCAAGGTACATGGAAAAAACAATGCACGAATGGCTGGGTGAATGACTGAATGATGGAATGAATGGATGGACTGACAGACTGACTTAATGAGTCACTGAATCAGACAATGAATCATTGAGTGAGTAAATCAACGAATGAGTAAATCAATGGATCAATGAATGAATGAATGAATGAATGAATCAATCAATCAATCCATCAATCAATCAATCAATCCATGAACCAATGAATCAATCAATGAATCAATCAATGAATCAATCAATCAATCCATCAATCCATGAATCAATGAATCAATCGATGAATCAATGAATCAATGAATCAATGAATCAATCATTGAGTGAGTGAATCAATGAATTAGTAAAACCAAACGGATCAATGAATGAATCCATGAATGAATCAGTGAATGAATCATTGACTGATTCAATGAATGAACGACGAATGAATGAACGAACAAATGAATGAATGAACTACTTCTTCGTTGATCTACCCATGTCCTTAGCCTAGTCTTGTCTAAGCCACCTCTGAACTATTCTTCACTGAGCCACCTCTACTTCTTTGAGCTGCCTCTTATTACGACTACTTCTCCCCTGACCCGCTTTCGCTCTGAGCTACCTCCCTCTCTCACCTACTTGTTCTGCGAGCCACCTATCTCCAGCTGCCTGCAAAGCACCACGGCAGCACCATGCTCAAAAACTAGCGTCACAGCATGACTAAGGCTTTCCTGCGTGCATCCGCGCTGGATGCGTTTCGTCGCATCCAGTTGAAATCCCACATAGTGCACGGACGCACCAACAGTTAGACATCGTTTCGGACCGGACAAAAATCGGGCGCCGGTCCGACCATGTGGTAATTTCACCTTTTCGAGCAGAACCGAGCTCCTCGGAACCTAGCTCCTCGGTTCAGCTCCTCGGTTCAGTCTACAGTGCATTTTTTCTCGGAAACTCTGCCAGATCGAAACCCGCAGCCACGAAAATACAGGCCCTATGCTTGCTGACCCGTCAGGCCACAACACATACAACACCTGTAGACACAGAGATTCGCGCATTTCCATTGTTTCACCCACAACCTTGCACGTTCCCGAACTGTTACTATGAAAAAAATGCTTTGGCAAACCAGTTCGTTTTTTCCTTACCAGTTACCAGATCTTGTCAGAGTATCCAAGATTGGCCACATGTAGGCGGTGAGCAGTATTCCCCTCTATGTGGCCGCTTGCAGTTTCTTCTTCGCCCTGTGCCCTTCGTTGGAAAGTGAAGATCATTCGCAGATGCTGAATCCTCACAGCTGGGCTTCTAGAGGGTGGTGCCGCGTTGAGAGGCAGCTAGAGCAGGGGCCAAAAACCTTAATTTTTTAAATTAGATGTTCTGCGACCAATTGGAGAGGACTAAAGCAACGCTGGCCGACCAAAACCCATTCAGATCATCATCCCCATTGTGACACGAGCAACCTCTGACTTTTTTCCTATGGGAAAACGGGCAGCCTCAGGTGTTGTCGGGAACTTTCTCCGGAGCACTCCTGGGTGATGATCCGCAGTGCCCAGCAGATGGAGTTGATCTCCTCCCCTGTCGCCACACCGGGCGCAGGCGCCCCTGGCGAAGGCCTCTTTACAGTGGAGGCGGATCGACAAAGACTGGGGCCGGTGATGTTGAAGACTCTGCAGAGGACGGATTGTGGCCCGGGTAGTAAGAGGCTTTGCACATTTTGATACTGGAGTCGTTTTCCACACATGAGGAGAAAAAAAGAAAAGATATGAAAAGATCATTGTATATTGTGCCCGCTAAGACTCTGAGAGTGGCCATGAGGAAACTGCAGTTCCTGCTGAAGTCTGGAGACCTGGTGGGATATCGCGTCCTGCTGAACCATCAGCCGCTCTTTTTGCGGGGCTTCAATGTGGAGGCTGTTTACGATTTCATTCCAGGCTATGACAAGGGCTTGAGCTTGGAAAAAGATGCCGCTTCGTTGGTGTCGAAGTTCTTCTACCATAATGGCTTCAGCAAGATCCATGAAGTGGATAAGGTGGGCTGGAGCCCTCTGCACTATGCTGGCTGTCGTGGCGATCCCCAACTGGTTCGAGCATTACTAGAACTGCGTGCCAACCCAAATGTCAAAGCTGGAAAGGACTGCGTCATGGCAGGAGCACTTCCCAAGTGGAGGGTGATGACAAGCGTTGCGGCCTGCAGGCACCATGAGGTTGCACACATCTTGATAGAGGCGAAAGCAGACCTGAGTGGGACGCAGTTGGTGGGTGCGTGCATTGGCAACGACCCGGAGGGCATTCGGATCCTTTGCGAAGTTGGTGGCGTCAGCCCGCTGGCTGCGGATCATGAGGGTGGCCATGGGGTGCTGGCCGTTCATTTGGCTTGCATGTATGGAGCAACGGCTGCCCTGGAAGAGTTGTTGGCCCAAGCAGAACGTGGCAAACAAAGCGTTGCTGGCTGGTGGTTTCAGATGTTCTACATTCCCAATTTTTTCACCATTTTCATCCACATTCCACTATTATTCCACCATTATTCCAGATTTTCCCGCAAATTTTCTTACCACTTTCCATATTTTCCCAATTTCTCCACCACCTCCCCTGATTTGGGATCATGATCCCAGCTGACTATATTGATTTTATATGAATTTATTATCTTTTTGAAATGGGTTGAAACTGAGAAACCACCAGGTGGATCTCTCCAACATCCTGTGGATGGCTGCGACCTTTGGGAACTGTAGCGCGGAGATGGTTGATTCCCTTGTGAAATTGAAGGCTGATGTCAATGAACAGTGGAACTTGCCTTTGACCAATCCAATAGGACTTTTGGTCCGAGTGACTACTTTGAAGCATCGTTTTGGAAGGCCGACCCAGTTCAGCAGGCTTGGTGCTGATGTTTCATTTACCTTTTTTTTTTTTAAAGGTTGGGGAACGCTTTCATACTTTTCCCCATAACTTTAACATATAACATTGTACCCGAAAAAAGGATGTTGCTCCCTGTTTTTTTTTTGGAAGGCCTTGGATCTCTTGGACCCTCTTGGATCTGGGTTTGTTTGAGAATAGGGTCCCATTTCATCTCCATTGGTGAATCAATGTTCATCATCATTACCCCGTATTATCCCATATTATCATCCCATATTATCCCATATTATCCCCATCAAAAAATAGCCATTTGGAGGGATATACAGTATATACAGTACACTATTCTCAGACAGCCATTTGGCCACCAGGATGGCTTTCCATGCCAAGGGCTCTACACCTTTGATGCAGGCTGTCATGGGAGGCCAGTGGGAAGCCGCTGCTGCTCTCGTGGCTCGGGGGGCTCGCATCGACGTGCGCAACGCGCAGCTTGGAGGATGAGATTTAGATTTTTCGTGGGAAAAGCTGTTGGGGAAATAGTTGGACAGTAGAATTTTGGATGAATTCTGGAGTCTGTGTTGGGAAATCCGTTAGAAAAGACATGGAAATGCACACCACACAATGTCAAATGTAGTATTGCAGTTTTTTTCATCGAGACTTGTAGTTACACTTACACCAAGGGATTTGGAATCTATTTTTTTTGGGGGGCATCAATTAGGCATTGAATTATGCACATAAGTGATCCTGAGTTGACTTAAACTAGAGATATTGTAAGAAGGTAGATATATACTGAATGGATGACAACTTGAATCACGACTCTAATAGGCGGGATGGGAAAGGATGTGTTTATACATGTTACTTATGTTACATATGATATACATGTTACATGCATATAAATTATATAAACAATTATAAGCACACATGTTTGTGTTTATATTAAGTGATATTGAGTGGGGTCCGGCAAGCCGAGGCGTGGCTACACCGCGGCCGACCTAGCACTGTCTCCCCCAGCTTTCTTGGCCCAAGCCTTTCAAGGGGATTCCAGGGCATTGCGGCTGATCGGGCCAGATCCCCACCACACTCTTCCAGGGGCTACTTCTCCCGAGAAGACCAAGGAAGAGGAAGAGGCTGAGGACGATGAGTTGATCGAAATGCATTTCTGATGGAGGGAACATCGAAGCACCGGACCAAACATCTCGATATACAGTAATCTCGATGAATCCATGCCGTTCCATGTTGAGTGGGATGCTCTGACCCATAATTAACTGGGCATTATTTTTTCGAAGGTGTTTCACCAGTAGGCGGGTACCATCGGATACACCTTGGAACACGCTTTGATCGCAGAATCAGCTTTCTTAAGGCTGCGATGTTTTTTCTCCCCACACCATTCGATCGCGATACTGCGCAAAAAAACCGTTGACTCTGAGGCTCTCGCTCGCCAGAGCGTTATTACCTGTGAACCCCATTGAACCCCAGCATGTTCAAAGTTGGGAACACCAGCCAAAATGGGGGACATGGCCCATGCTTTTGACCCCAGCAGATCTTTTGGTCCGGCGCCGTAGCCAGGTTCATCAGCGTACTGCCACCAAGCCTCGACCCGCAACTGAACCCCTCCGAGATTTTTCCGTGGGGCGACCCAGGTTGCTTGGTGGTTTTAGGACCGGGGGAGTTTTGGATATTTTGGATCCATTTTTTGGGGAAACCTGTGCCCAGGGGGGGGGATGGTTATGCCCCCATGAATGAACAGGGTTTGTAAGATTTCGTAAGGAATCCCTGGTGATGGTGGCATGACCAGGCACCTCCAGTTAGGCTGGGCTTAGCGGCCAAGCAGCTTTTAGTAACCCAGTAAACCAATGGGTTGATGAAGCTACACTTGAATGGGAGGTGTTTCCTTTTCCTCCAACCAAAATGTATTCCATTTGCGAGATACCTTCCATGGAAAATTCTATATCTTTCCAAACTTCCCCCCCATTTCCGTAGCTGATGCTGTTCTGTATGCAATCCCTTCCCTGGATGCAGTAGCTGCAACACCCACATTCCGCGGCAGGTGGCAATGCCCCGCTTATCTTTGAAGGCTGGGATATGGTGTCGCGGCCAGAGGTCGAAAATAGTGATACAATGTGATACAGACGTTGCTGTACTATTAAAATTGGTAACAAACTGGGGGTTTAGCAACAAAATCCCGGGGGAACATTATTGGGTTGAGTTGGCCATTTCGGCTGCAGGGAAACTAGTGCCAACAACTTGCACTCACATACTCATCATACTCGATTGCAGTCATGTGTTGCTGGCGAAATCCGCGCCAACTGGCTCATGACTATGACTATGGAGTGCGGCGGAGAGATCTATCTTTCATTCTATCTATCTATCTGGCTGGCTGGCTGTCTA